TCATATTGCAAGGGATTGAGAGAGTAAGAGAGTTGAGAGAATTTTTTTAGCGTCACTTTAGGATTTAGCTTACTGTTATATTTATAGAGGGAAAATTCTAAGACGATCAGGATATCTTATCCTTTTGGATATAGGATGCCTTCTCCTGAATATAGGGGAAATCCCAAAACCATCAGAATATATTCTTCATATAGAAAATAGAGATTTTTCTCATCCATAACATTAGCCCCCACTCTCAAAATACATAGTATTAATTTTGAATCTTTATCCAAAATTAACATATATTTATTTAATGTATCAATATACATTATATACATTCCCTTATATAATTTGAACATTTCAAATATCTTTTATCATCGTTTCACCCATTGTGGGCTAGCAAGGGAACCTAATTGACCTACAGATCAAAAGATCTAACGATGCAAGATTAATCAGTCAAACTCGTTAACTAAGTAAATCAACATTCGTTAACTGCGGACAACTCCACTAAAGACCCGCAGCTGCACTCTTCTCACTGTAAAATATTTTTGTGTCTATGGATGTGTTTGGGTGTAAAAATACCTTGGACACGTGGAGGACAGCCATTGGTGCTTCAAAGATGATTGGAGAGCCAGGTCGAGATCGACCCAATGAGAGGACCGAACACCGCCACTAAGGCTAAGTATAAAAGGCCGAGGTGCGACCTGGTCGCGGTCTGACCTACCGTATGTCTCGACACGTCCGATGTGAGGGAAGATAAGTAACCGTCGGCTGCGTGATTGTCAGGAGTAACCGTCAGTCGCGAGATTGTCGGGTATGCCACCCATAAATAGAGGGCTTCACTTCACACTCAGGTAACGAAATCCATCTCAAACTAAACCGAGAACCCGACTTATACTGACTTGAGCGTCGAAGTGTTTGCCTTCTTGTGCAGGTCCGCTCAAGTGTACAGGTCGGGCCGGAGACCGGGTTCGAGCTGGGTTCAAGAAAGGACAGTTGTGCATATCCTTGCATAAACATTTGGTGCCGTCTGTGGGGACAAGACAATCCAAGTCATCCCAATCCTTTTAAACAAAAACGTGAACGAAAATAGTTCAACCAGCAAACTCAACCAATAAGGCTGATCGAAGAACTCTAGTTACCAGCGATGTCCACCAGAGGGAGGTCGGAGCAGAGGTGGTAGAAGGGCAAGGTCACGAGGGCTTGGGAACAGAACTTCTCCTCAGGTCGGCACGTATCACCACGCCCGTTCTACCACCAGCACATCCAAAGCCATCCAAGGCCAATCGTGGCCGAGGTGGGAC